TAAACCCCATGGCTAGCGATGGTAAACCCCGTGGTTAACGATGGTAAACCCCATGGCTAGCGATGGTAAACCCCGTGGTTAACGATGGTAAACCCCATGGCTAGCGATGGTAAACCCCGTGGTTAACGATGGTAAACCCCATGGCTAGCGATGGTAAACCCCGTGGCTAACCAGGTGATAAAAGCTTTGGTCTTTAGCGAGGGTGAACGGCTGCTTGTCAAGCTCTGTCGTTTCTATCGTTAAAGCGCTTAAGATTTGCGTCCTCTCTGGCAATTTGTTTGGATTTGTCAAAAGCCTCAGCAGTGATTTAAGTCCTGATGAGTTCTTGAATGCTAACTTGTTCTTGTTAGCATTTTAGCAGACGAACTTCAGTTCAGTTCAGTACCTTTATTGTCCCCCCCATGAAGGGAAATTTGATTTGCAGCCAAGCATTTCCAACAGAACTTTGTGCTGCATTCAGGAGCTAACGGACATTACATGTTACATTACATTTTTTTTTCGCTCTCGGAGGAGTAAGTCGCTTTTTCCTTCTCTCCTGCCCTTTCTTATCTTCCCTGCTTTGCTGCTTGGAGCCTTCTCTACGTTTTCGTCAGAAACCAGAAATTATGGATATTTTTATTTTTATGGATTTGGGTAGCTGGTCTCTTAATAAATTTTTTTGGAACAAAGTTTTTTCTCTTCCATGGGAGGACATGTTAGAGGTGGGACCTCTGTTCTTTTCTGTTCTGGTTATATATCTGGAATCCGATCACTGGATTCTACAGATTGTCTTGGTGGTCTCCTGGTGTTCTACAAAACAACGTCGGTGGCTGTTCATCTCCAGGMTGCCTGACCAATTTGATGGATGGCCGTATTCCATCAGAACTCGGACATTTGCCTTGAGCAAGCTGGACTTGGTCTGCAAGCGGTTCTGCTGAGGGTCGCGGGCCGGTTGTGGTCCCTGGACTTGCTGGCCAGATGGAATTGATCTTGGAGAAAGCTGATATATCGGCTGGGCGGAATTTGTCCACACCATTTTTTCTGATTGGATTCGCCACCTTGGATGTACCAGCAGACATTAAAGCAGATGGAAAATTGTTGTTGTCTGCTTGGCTCTTCTGTTCCCAAAACAACTGATTACAGATTCAGCTCTCCGCTACAACGGCCTTGAACTGTTGGACTAAATTCTTCCTGGATGTATACATCGACTGAGGGTCTGCCCCCCCCCCCACACCCGTCTGGTCTGGTTCCTGGAGCAAGCTGAGGGCCACACAGAATGAACAGTTAACATCCATATTCTGGACTATGGCTGCGCAGGTTTTGGGGACTTGATTCTTCGGGCTCATTCTTCAGATATTCACACAAGCATACAACACTCATGGTTTCAGATACACGCCCCTCTAAACTCACTCTTCTGGCTAATAAATCTGCTCTATGCGGAGGTTTTTTTTATAAACACCATAGTGTGTCACATTGTTGATATAATATGATGTTTTTGTTTTTGGGAGTAGTTGTTCTGATGTTTATAATTATAAAGTTTGTGTGTAACTTACAGGGTTAATTGGTAAAATAATATAAATAATTATTAAAATGACTGGTTGTTTTTCAGCACAAAGTATTCTAATTATTTTTCTAGTGAGAAAGTTGTTTTTTTCTATGCCACTTGAACGTTGCGCGGGTCGTGTCGGACGGGAAGCGGCTTGACCAAAAAAAGATAAAAATAAACGCATTCTCATCGCCGTGCTGGCAAGCATGTACATATATTATTGGTTCTGTTTGTTATGATATCGGACCGATAAATATGATGTCATAATTCCCTGATATCGGGCCAATAACTATCGTGCACTCCTAGTGGTTACTGCTGCTCAGATTTTAATCCTAATAACTATAAGCTTTACAGATATAGGATGTGCTGTTTTGTCCTGATTCATCAGAGTTTAATGAAGTGGATGTAAATCTCCATGTTTGTTGGACACAACAGGAGTCTGCAGCTGAAAATGAGGAAGGCATTGAGAGAGATGAGCAGCTGTCCAGTCATCAGGAGGAGGAGCCAGCAGCTGCTGAAGGAGAGGACACAGCAGCAGGAGCTGAGGACACCTCAGCTGGTGAGAAGGTTGAAGAGCAGGAGCAGACTGACGTAGATCAAGGAAACATTACGGAAGCAGAACAAGTGACAGAAGAAGAAACGGTTGCCGAGGAAAGAAAAGAAGATGGAGAGGAGAGCGATGGAAAGGAGGAGAAAGGACTGAAGAGAAAGAGAGAGGATGACAACACAGTGGATGAAGATGGGCAAAACACTGAGAAGAAAATGGTAAATACTGTGTATTTGCTAAATACTAAAATAAGACCTTAAAGGGTTAATTTGTTCATTTTAAAGTAAAGTTACATGAGTTACAGTATAAATTGTGGTGACATCAGTGTACAGATAGGAAGAGGTCCTACAGACATGAGGCTCATCCTCCAGACCTGGTCTCCTCAGGTCTTCCTAAAGCCTCCAAACCAGGGGCCTCATGTATCAATGGTGCGTTCGCACAAAAACATTGCGTACGCCATTTTCCACTCAAAAAACTGGATGTATCAAAACTGAAATGAACGTGGAAATGTGCGCAGCCCCACGCCAACTCCAGGGCTGGTGTCACACATTTCTGTGGTTCTGGTTCCATTGGCGACACTTAGAGGTGATTCTGAGAAA